TGTTGTTTTGTTGTTGTTTGTTTGTTTGTTCGGTTTGTTTTTGTTTTGTTATGTTTTGTTTTTTGAGATTTCTGGATATATATTCTCTCCCCTCCCCTCTTTTCGCAAGTTCCATCCACCATAAGTAAAGTGTGGAGGATCCCTAGCCTGCCTTAAAGATGGTGCAAGAGTGTGAGAAAGAGCTCAGTTGCTGCTGTTCAGACAGGGGGATCTGAGTTTGCTCCCAGCATCCGTGTGAAAAGCCAGACGTGGTGGTATGCACTTGAGTTTGGTCCCAGCATCTATGTGAAAAGCCAGATGTGGTGGTGTGCACTTGAATTTGGTCACAGCATCTATGTGAAAATACAAGCGTAGTGGTGTGTGCTTGTGTTTGGTCCCAGCATCCATGTGAAAAGCCAGATGTGGTGGTGTGTGCTTGAGTTTGGGCCCAGCATCCATGTAAAAAGCCAGATTTGGTGGTGTGTGCTTGAGTTTGGTCCCCAGAATCTGTGTGAAAAGCCAGATGGGGTGGTGTGTGCTTGTGATCCCAGTCACGGGGAAGCAGAGACAGACTAGCAAACTTTGCAGACCATCGGCCAGGAAGACACCATGTAGACAGCTTCTGAGGGATGACACCCAAGATTGTCCTCTGAGTTCTACATGTTCCAACAGATCCATGTGTACTTGTACCACACATGTACCTACTACACACATATGAAAAGAAAAGAAAAAATATACTGGATTTTTGTGGCTCCTAGAAATTTCAATTCAAGGCAAAGCTTTCCAGTGGAAACTGTGGCAATGTTTTCCTTAAGCTCTGGAATGGGGGACCCCGGAAAGTCAGGTTCAAGCATTGAGATGTATGGAACCATGCTCCTCACCCCCAGGGGTTTTGATTTGCTAATGCAAAAGTAGATTTGATAGCAAAGAAAATCACTAGTTCCAGCTGCCTTGCTGGAGAGCATAGCCCCTCTGCTGTCCTGAGCCAGGCCTTGCTCCTTCCTGCCATGGGACCGCTGCATAGTTGCTCCTTCCACTTGAAGCCCTCTGTCATCTCTTGTTAACTACCCTGTCCCCATTTGCCTAGTTAACTTCTCTGGGTTCAGTACATCACAATTTAAACTTTGCTTCCTCACTGACCAGTGTGGTCCTGCTAACCCCTGTTGAAGACATCCTCCTCCAAGGAATGCCAGCAGCCACCTTACATCTCTTCATTATAACTTACTTTTAATTAACATGGTTGGGACTTGCTCCTTAGGATTTCGCAGTATCCCAAACTACCAAGTGTCTACCATGGGGCAAGTGCTTAGTAACTATTTGATGGGTTAAAGAAGGCATGCGTGCATTGCCTCTACTCTTAGTTTACTTCAGATCTGTTGCAGTCGAGAGTTAATAGTAGCTTGAAAAGTTTCATAAGCAAATGCCACTCAGGCGTTAACCCAGTAAGTAGGAAAGGGTGATGGCGCCTACCCGAAGCAGTGATGAAGGCACAGTCAAGAACCAAAATTGTGTCAGCAGCTTTCCCCAATGGCCTCTGGGAAAGAGGAACAGTCTAGTGCCTGTGGCCGGGGCAAGACGCCAGGTGCTATTTCCAGGACGGTTGCAATGCTTTTGCTTGAATCTATTACAATTTCTAGGTGGATCTTCAATCTCTAGATGTTTTAATGATGTTGTCACCTAACTGAAAGAAAAAAAATTAACACTCTGTGGTCCAGGAGGCAGTGAATAAATATCATACAGTGTGAACTTTTGTGTAGTTTTGGTATCTCATCCAAATTGATTTTTTAATGGGCACAGCTGACATACAGAGATTTCCCAGAAAGTTTACTAAGACTCAGCTGTCCTGACAGTGGCCTGGCCCCTGTACTAGGGCTAACTTGAATGATCAGCTAATTTTAGAAGGCGGCAAGCAGTTTCAGGTCACTTTTAAGACAGGCGGGAAAAACCAATAAATCATGACCATCAGAAAAGATGACTGATTGTCCATCATGTAAAATAGTTTTCCTCTTTTAATGATGAGTGTGAAGCTCCTAGCTTTGGGCACACTAGCTCGGCATTCTACCACTGAAGTACATGCCCTGCACTGAAGTGCATCTGAACAAAGTATTCAAGCCCTGAAAAGACTTTGTCTCCCTAGACTTTATTTGTTTGCTTTGAGAATAGGGTGAGAAAAAGTGTGAAGGCGAGCTAGCTATTCATGGCCTTAAAGGCAGGCTAATGTCCTTCCCACTGGTTTGGTTTGGTTTTGAGATAGTCTCCTGTAATCCACATTGACCCCAAACTCTGAGATATAGAAAGTGACCTTGAATTTCTGCTCCACCTGCCTCCCTCTTCCTAATGCTGGGATTACAGGTGTGTGCTGCAGCATCTGGTTTGATATTGATATCAAATAGAAATTAATTGACTGCTCCTCCATTATTTCTTACTCGATGGAGATGGCAAATTACTAGACTCAATTGTGAGGACATCTGATACCTAGGAGACTTGAAGACTGCTGTGCCAGAACCTGAAAGTGATTGTGAAAAGCTTTTGGGAAAGGCTTTCTGTTATGTGAAGAGTTTGGATAAGTGATACCAGCTGATTCCAAAGAAAGCCAAGGGCATACTCTCTAGTATTTGAAAATACTTTATACTACTTAAGATGGTTTATTGACTTATAGATCATACTATATAAAATAGTTAATTGAGTTAACATTGAAATTGATTTAGACTTTGTTTGACGTCAATTTTATATTGGAGTTAAGATATTATAACTTCTAGATAGGTGGTGGTGGTGGTACATGCATTTAATCCTCAAACTCAGGAGGGAGAGGCAGGTGGATCTCTGTGAGTTCAAGAACTGGTCCACAAAGTGAGTTCCAGAACAGCCAAGATTACAGAAAGAAAATAAACCCTGCCCCTCCCCCAAATAAAAGATATTGTAAGTTTTTGACTTTATAAAAGTATTTTAAGTGATATTTATTACAGAAGATAAGAACCTATCTTAAGTTCTCTTTGTCTCAGTTAAACTTTAACTCCCAAAGTTGACTTAGTACAGGATAATGCCTTATGGAGAAATAGTCTGATCTTGAGGATGTTTGTACACTGATGTGAAAAAAAGCAGATGCTGTATGGGGGGCAAATATTGCAGCTGCTCTATGGTGGGACACGAAGGGGACCTGCTGTGAGACAGTAGTCATGTACCCTGTTACTTATATTGTATTGTTTTAATAAAATACTGATTGGCCAGTAGCCAGGAAGGAAGTAGAGGAAAACAGAATTCTGGGAAGAGGAAAGGATCAGCCTGCAGGCATCACAGAGGAAGCCAGACACAGAGGAAGCAAGATGAGAATGCCTCACTGATAAGAGGTACCAAGCCACATGGCTAACATAGACAAGAATAACAGGCTAATTTAAGATGTAAGAATTAGTTGATAAGAAGCCTGAGCTAATAGACCAACCAGCTGATAGGACATTTTTCCCCTAGGAATAATTGTATTCAACTGTAGATAAGCAACCCTTTTTGGATACAGTTCCTTGAATGGTGCATCTTGCTGAGTGGTTGCTTCATCTATTGGCACATATCCCTTTCACATTTCCGCCTTGGCTACTTATTTCCTATATTTTGTAAAGCACAGTTCTACAGGGAAGAAGAATGAGTGGAAGGTGACATGAAAAGCCACCAGTGGAAAAGCCATAGCAATCTTCCAGTTAACCCAGAGCCCAATGAAAACAGGTTCCTTCCAGAGCCTAGGAAGGTTCTCGACCTTCCTAATGCTGTGACCCTTTAGTACAGTTCCTCATGTTGCGGTGACCCCCAACCATAAAATTATTTGTGTTGCTGCCACATAACTGTAATTTTGCTATTGTTATGTAATATAATCCATAGTGTAACTATATGAGTCTTTCAATGGTCTTTGGTGAACTGTGAAAGGATTGTTTAACTCTCCAAAGAGGTCATGACCCACAAATTGAGAACCTTTGGTCTAGACAGATGTCCTTCTAGTGAAGACAGTAGAGCCAATTTACTGATTCTAGGGGCCCCATCTGGGGGAATGTGGTGTTCTGATCCCCCAGACATGCTGCAAAGACCCTCAGCATGCATCAAGCTACTCATCCCTTAGGAGCCCCAGCAGCATCTACAGCACTAAAGAATACACTGTGGCTAATAGGCCCCATCTCTCTGCAGATGGCGGTGCACTGCTTCTCGGGCTCTTTCTCTGTGAGTTAGGTAAACAATGCATCTCCAGTACTCAGTGCAAACCATCAGAGCCAGTAGCTTCTAATTTTCACATCTCTCTGGTAATAAAAATATAAAAGATCACTGTAGTCTTCTCTCCAGGACCATGCCAACGTTGAGAAGGCCTCCCTACCCCAATAGTAGAGGAAGCTAATAGAATAGACCTTGCTATGCATAGGGAAGACCTCCTTTCTCAGATCATGACATCAAGAACACTGGGGACAGTGTTTCCTTGGGAACTGACATTCAGCAGGCAAGGCTAAGATGTGTGTCAGAGCCCTGTCCTGTTCCTATGCCAACCTTCTTGTCCTCGAGTTTTGCATACCCTTCCCATAGTCTGCTCTGGTCCTTGCCCTGCCCCTAGACATGCCATCGCTGCATACCCACTGCTTCAAGTAGTTCTTGAGTTCTGAGAAGTGTAATTTTGCCTGTTTTCCCCTTGACTGTGCTTAACTTTCATTTCTTCCTTGTCTATGTATCAAGTGCCCTTTGGAGTAGGGGGATTTTTTTTGCAGCAAAGATACACCTCTGTCCATCTTATTCAAGCCCTGTCATGGTATTGTAGTACAGAATTTGATTAACCGGTAGCATTGCTCCCCTGCACCCATGATAGACAAAGACTGCCGTGTCTCCTGGAGAACTAGACTTGAGAGTTTGCTCATCCTACTGTGGTCATGGGAGAGAGGATTGGTGATGAGAGTTCAGAAGTCCAGTAGGGAATTTGTTTCTCCCCATTGGTTGCAATTAAAATGTGAGTATTGAGGTTGCACTCCAACTGAACCTCATTTTCCTTCTTTCCATAGCACCTGAGATTCTCCGAGGCTGTGCCTATGGACCGGAAGTGGACATGTGGTCTGTAGGAATAATCACCTACATCTTGTAAGTGACAAAAGGCAACCTTTATACAAAGTCTTTGTATGACATTTTCTAGGTATTAATAATTCTCATGACAACCACGTTGGCCTCTGACTTCTTGTGATGTTCCTTTTTACAATAACCACACTGATAGCATAGTCTCAAATGATGTGATGTTCCGTTTTACACTAACTGTGCCAAAAGCTACTCTAAAAATCAGTATTGCTTCTTAATGTCGCATTTCCCTGGAGGTGAGACACTGTCCAGGGCTTTTCCTTAGCTGATTTTTCTGTATAATATGCCCACATTTGGGAATGTATTGCATGATCATGATAGATGTGAAACCTATGTCCACCTGCCGTACTCCTTTGTTTATGTATTTGATTCTTGCTGAACAAACTGGTAGCCCTTTAAGGAGATCTGTTATTAACTTCTTAAGAAATCCCAAACTAGCACGTTTCTTATGAAAATATTTCGAGCGCATTTACCTATTGATTTATTTCCTATGTGTTAAGGTTTCAAGGGCCTTGAGCTAAACACTGAATAAAATGAGCTGATGATAATTCATTCCCTGTCCACTCCAACTCCATTACTGAGCTGCTGTCTAATAAAAAATGACTTCGGGAAGTTTGCAGAGTGAGTGATGGAATTGGAGGTGACAGTGAGGGAAATCATATGTGACCATGGCCGTAGAAGATATCAGTGCACCCGAGAGCGAATGCGCTGTGAGGCACGCGTTGGCCATTTGGCAGGGAGTGCGGTTAGTTTTGGGAACCTATAGCATGCATCTGTGGCGAGAGGTTTTCCAGGGTTCTGAAGAGCCGGTTATTCATAGGTGAGCTGCCTTCACCCACTGTATAGTAGAGCGACCTACACAAGCGATATTTACCTTCTCACAGTCTCAGAGGCTAGAAGCTTTAGGTCAGGGTGGCTGCAGGTGTGGGCTCTGCAGAGGGGATTCTTCTGTGGTTTCAGAAAAGTTCTTTTGTGCTGTGTCCCCGTGTGTGTGTGTGTGTGTGTGTGTGTGTGTGTGTGTGAGAGAGAGAGAGAGAGAGAGAGAGAGAGAGAGAGAGAGAGAGAGAGAGAGAGAGAATCTTAGCTCCTGGGCTTTGTAGAATACTTCTATAATGCTAGGTGGTGGTGCATCTTTAACCCAGCACTCAGGAGGCAGAGGCAGGCTGATCTCTGTGTGCCGACACTCCCCTCGCACAGGTGGCTCAGGTGCAGGGGTCTCTGTACAGACTTAGCAAATGAGAGTGCATTGCTGAGGTTTGTTTCACTCCCAAGTTCTGCCTTCTCCCAGATGGATCCAGAATGTTTAGATGAGACAGATTCTCTGTCGTGGAAACAGGTCATGAAAAGAGGACATGGGGAATGACTTCTCCCAAGGAGTTGTTTTATTTCTCCATGCTCTGGGGGCAGCCTGGCTGGCTCAGAGGAGGAGTCAGAGAAGATATCTTTTAACTTTTTGTTATTTTCCCATTTGATTTTCAAAGGGAACATGTATAATATATGCCTTGAAAGACTGTTTTTTTCCTTATGTAATATTTTATTGATTATTTGGGAGTTTCATGTAAATGCACCCCGATCACATTCAATTCCCAGTCTTCCCAGGTTCACCCCTTCCCCAAAGAAAAGAAGAGAAGAGAAAGAAAGAGAGAAAGGGAAAACTACGAAGTCTAACTTGTGTGGCCCATATACTCGCTTGGAGCATGGTCCATTTCCCAGAGGCCAGCCCCTTAAAGAAAGCGGCGTCCTTCCACACCCGCGCCCCTGGAAAGGCCCTTGCTTCCTTTAACTGCCTTTTCCACCTGTGATCCAGAAGAGCCGCTTGGCCTCTCACCCGGGCAGGCTCAGAAACCCCAGAGCAGACTCCAGCTTTTCCTTCCCCCTTGCATGAGATGTCAAAGGTGTTTCCCGGTTCTCACACTCTCTGTTTCCTTCTCTCCTGACCCTATAGTAGAAAGCATAAGGTGAATCTGATCAGACATCTTTAAAATGAGGACTATTTACAAGAATGAAGTCAGTCCGCGGCTGCTCGTCTGTTGACGGCCTGTGCTGACTAAATTAATAGCTTCATCTCTATTTGTCTCAGTCTGAAATCCAAACCAGGATAATATATGGAAATATCCGACTTCTACTTTTGTAGATTACTATTTCTCTCTACTTTTAAATCTGTATTCTTAAACTCTCCCATTTTATACTAAATTGGAGCCCTGTTAATCTATATAATATTTTTAATTATCAAGAAAAATCTCCTGGAAAGATCATTACCATAGCATCTATAATATTAGCAATTTTAATTATAGTATTTTTGTGTCTGTTGTTGTTATAGCTTTTAAAAGAAATGTGGTTTCACTATTCTTACCTCCTGCAGGTGAAGTTCAGATTTTATATTGTCAGTCATACATTCTAACAAAACAATTACACACTTGTACAGGTAGAGTTACTTGTAGAGAATATAGAAGAAAGATTTTGAATTTTTGTAGAAATTTGATGAAGTATACCTCATCTTTTGAAGATATTTGATTCTATCTTTTCCCTCCAGACTTTGTGGATTTGAACCGTTCTATGACGAAAGAGGCGACCAGTTCATGTTCAGGAGAATTCTGAATTGTGAATATTACTTTATCTCCCCGTGGTGGGATGAAGTATCTCTAAATGCCAAGGACTTGGTAAGTGTGACCCAAACAAAATGAGATAAATAATTTTTTTAAAGACTTATTTATTAATTATGTATACAGGGTTCTTCCTGCATGTATGCTTTCAGGCCAGAAGAGGGCACCAGATCTCATTACTGATGGTTGTGAGCCACCATGTGGTTGCTGGGAATTGAACTCAGGACCTCTGGAAGAGCAGTCAGGGCTCTTAACCTCTGAGCCATCTCTCCAGCCCGAGATAAATAATTTTTAACTAAAAGACAGAAGAGGACGTTTTAGAATAGGCTGCTTTTGACATCATTGCTTCTTTGTAACTTTAAGGTATTTTCATTTAAAGGGAACACTGATGCATTTTCATTTTGAAGAATGAAAACTCGATATTCCTCAGTCCTCATTAGCTGAATTACCATAATAGCATTAGTTCCTGAAATTTTCCTACCTGGTAAATAGAAAGTCTTTCAAATAACACTGCGCTCTGGAGCCCAGACACCATTCACACAGAACTCTGCTTTGATGTGGCTTATTCGCCTAGATGTAGATGTACTTCAAATAAATATAATTGGATTTTCAAACATTTTTAAACCTATTAAAATACTCTGACAGTAGCATGAGCCCTATTATGCGCCACTGGAATTATAAACAAGGTCCACTCTATTAATAGAATGGTTTATGGTTTGCTTTGCGCTGCTTCACATTCAAGCTAATACTGAAGCCTATTAATATTCGAGAAGTCCCTTCGAGAGAGAACTCTTGTCTCTTCTGGTAGAAGGATGCTCATGTACAAGCGCAGCCATCGTTCCTCTGGAGAGATTCTGAAAATGTGCCAAAATAATGGAGTTGATTTTTTTCAGGTTATAGGGGATTTAGGAGCTTTCTAGTCATGGATTTGCTAAAGTGTGCCAAAGTTTACAAAGATTTCCAGCAGAAAGGCACTACTAAAGCTCACTCGAAGGCAGGTGGTGGTGGCGCATACCTTTAATCCCAGCACTCGAGAGGCAGGTGCATCTCTGTGAGTTCGAGGTCAGCCTGGTCTAACAAGAGCCAAAAGAGCTAGTTCCAGGACAGGCTCCAAAGCTACAAAGAAACCCTGTCTCGAAGCCCCTGCCCCCCAAACCAAAAAACCTTCACTTTCTCGAGTCCCTTTCCCAGGATTTATCCCTCCACATACTTCTCCCTTTTCTCTCTGTTATTCCGTGGAACAAATTCTTCAGGATCTCATGTGAGCAGGAAGGGCGGCAGTCTACATAGGTATGTAGATATGCAACCCCACTCCTGAACACATCCGCTTCTTTCCTCCTCCGCCACCACTGACTCCCACCAACTCCCACCCTCTCCTCCCTGGCCCACAGCCACAGCTGCCTGTCTGGCCTCCCTGCTTCTTCTTGTGCCTCTCTAAAGTATGCTCACACAGAACCCAGAGATCCCTGCCTTACATTAACCGGCGTCTGCACCGCAAGCGTGAACCGGAAAACGCTTCGTGACATCTGCTCCTTATTTAACTTGCTTTTCGATTCCATTAACCTGTTTTCACTTTGGTGGGTTTTTAGGGCTAGAAAAGGGCTCATAGCTCAATGATGAGAGCATCTTATTTCACGAGAGCAGAGTTTAGGGGCACTCTAGAGTCTCCACAAAGTCGTACATAAGATGAACTTCACATAATGGAAGCCTGAGTTTGACTTCAAGCTCTACTAATGGCCAAGTATTTGACCTCAGTAGCTAAGGTCTTGGAACATCTTTCTGTTCTTCACTTGTGAGATGGAGCTAATGGTTCCCAGTCCATATGTTTCTGTGACTGTGCTGTGAGGGTAGTTAAAGGCATAACCAGGACGTGTGCCTCCCTAAGTCCAGGTAGTGCCTCCAGCATAGCAGGCCACTGCTTCTGAGTCCAAGGCTGGGAACATTTCATTTGCTGGTCTTCCTGACAACTCCCTGTCTGTCCATCTTCACAAGAGTAAAGCTTCCAGAATGGATTACCTTTAGTTAAGTTTAGTCATACCAGGCATGTCTAAGCTCAAGCTTCCTTCTTTTTATCCTTAAGGGACTTTTATTCCAGCTCTGAACTTATTCCTTAAGTGCTTTCAATGAGTTAAAGAAAATAACTATACATCTCGAGGGAATCATAAAAAATAGTACTCAGTAAGGGCTTGAACACTAACTTTTGTTTGCCATTTAACCTCCCCCAAAAAATGTTGGTGCCTGAATGACTATTCTAGAGAGACGTAGTTCAAGTTCTGAATTCTAAGTGATTTCATAATGTGGCCTAGAATTATTCTGATGCCGGTTCTGCCTTCAGAAGGCATCTATCTGGTCAGTAGATAAGCCAGGGCCTAATTCTGTGGCCTCTGTGGAAAGAAATCTGTGGGTTTGGCGCTACAGCTGGTAAGTGCCCTGGTCTTCCAGGACACCCTCAGCTGCTGCTTCCCTGAGTAGTCCCTACTCTTGACAGTGTAAGCTCTTTCAAAAACATGCACTTAGCGCTGTTGCTAAAAAGTAGGAGAATACCTGGACATTCCCAGTCTGAAGGCAAGCCCAGCTTCTCTAAGTCTATATTCTTTATGATTGCAGGTCAGAAAACTAATTGTTTTGGATCCCAAGAAACGACTGACTACGTTTCAAGCCCTCCAGCACCCGTGGGTCACAGGGAAAGCAGCCAACTTTGTGCACATGGACACGGCTCAGAAGAAGCTCCAAGAATTCAATGCTCGGCGCAAGCTTAAGGCAAAACATGTGTTTTTGTTGCTTGTTGTTGTTTTTAAGATGTCTTTTCTTCCTTATTCCTTTTCTGCCACACCAGGGGAATCCTTGCTTTTAAATTCCCAAGACACTGACATAAAACCACTTAGGGTTTGATTTTTGTTGTTTGTTTTGTTTTGGTGTGTCTGTCTGTCTTCTCATGAATTCATTATTAAGAGAAGGAAAGTACTTGAAGGAATAAGTTCATAGCTGGAGTAAAAACCAGGACATGAATACTTGTGTTATACGTTTAAATTACGAAGTGTGTGTGTGTGCATGTGCTCACGTGTATGTGTGTGTGGTGTGTCTTATTTACTTTCTCTGTGTGTGCCCAAGCTTACCAGTGTGTGTCATAGCATGCATGTGCAGGTCAGAGTACAGCTTGAGGGAATCAGTTCTCTCCCTTCCACCATAAGCCCCAAAGACTGAACTCAGGCTAGGTGGAAAAGGCATTGTTACTTCCCCTACTGGCTGCTTCTTATCTAAATAAGGCAGCGTTCAAGAAACTTGTCTTTATTCAGAAAGTTTCTGAACCCGCAATAATTGGGAATTAACTTTTAAAACTATTCCATACTATAGATAATCATGAAAAAAAAGTAAGTGATACAGAAAACTTCACCAAAATACGTGTTTTATAGAGTAAACATAGAGTAGCGCTGAGGTGCATCTTCATGATGTTTAGGACTAGTTATACAAATAGCAGATCTCAGAGACTAGCTGGAGACCAAAAGCAACATCCTTTCTGTCATTTTGCACTGATAGGAAGGAGATCCCAAGCCTGGTTTTGAAATGGCATATGTAAATAGCTTCGGCTTAACTACTTGTGAAGCTAGTTTGAGCATTGCTCTTTTACGCCCATGATACCAGCCAGCATCGTGGAGCGAGTCTTCCATGAAACATCCTTTGGAGAATAGAAAACTTTAAGCCACTCAGAGGCAACCGCATCTTACTCATGTTTTCAATTGTCCAGACAGCCAAATAATTCTAACTTGTAATTAAAGAAGGTTTACTGTTCTTTCTCCAAATACCCTTTTAGCTGACAACCAATCTTTGAATCATTTCCTTTTCTTTGAAAGGCTGAACACTAACCGGTAAAACAGAGCAGGAACTCTACCGCCATTTGGGATTTCCCGCAGAAACACCATTCTGTGCTTTTCTCTCTCATCAGGCAGCAGTGAAGGCTGTGGTGGCCTCTTCTCGACTGGGAAGTGCCAGCAGCAGCCACAGCAGCATCCAGGAGAGCCACAAGGCCAGCCCAGATCCATCTTCAGCCGAGGATGTTACTGACAACACAGCTGTTCTGGGAAAGAAGATGCAAGAAGGAGACCAGGTGGCTGCTGAGGGAACAGCAGCTGAGATGTCGACGCTGCAGGCCGAGGGGCAGGAGGAGGATGCAGGTGGGAAAAACGAGGAGGTCTCCAGGATGGTGATTCAGGCGCTGGAGGATGGCTTGAAGACACATGACCCCACAATGAAGAGGCGCTCAGTGGAGAAGCTGAAGACTGTGGGGGAAGAAATGGACCCCAAATCTGAGGAGGAAGGCCCTGCTGTGGAAGCGCAGGATGTGATTCTGCCAGAGTACTAATCTGGCTTCCTTTAGGTTCAGAGACCAAGCCAAACATTTGATGTACTTTGTCCTTCAGCAAGGAAGGTGGGGGAGCATGACATGCACTATTGTGATTCTGTTTTGAGGTGCAAAACAAAAAAAACCATATATACCAGTTGGTAATCCTAATTTCAGTGCATGTGTTTGCTTTATGAAACAATGATGTCTTCTACGGCATGTAGTGGAGACATGAGCCCCATGAGTTAAATTTGGAGTGTCCAGCAAACAGCACAACACTTTAAAAACAAAAGTTCTTAGCCTTTTGGCGGCACATATTTGAAGTGAAATGGAAAACTAATTTTCCTTTGAAAGCTTAGGCATCCTATACCTCCCTGAAGTCTTCAGAGATGGCAATTCCTTTGAACTCAACTCAGATAAAGACACATTCCCATGACTTTCTGAACACTTCCAGTGGGTTCAGTTTGGCATAGAAAAGATACCTGTAGAGTGGCCAAAACCGTCTGCCACGCTGAGACATCAAAGCATGATGTCTTAGAAGACCACGAGCCCACAGCCCCCTTAAGAGTGTGTAAAGAATGTCTCATTTTATTAAGTATGCTATATAAGAATATCCGAAACGTTCAGCATAAAATTCTGCCAGTTTACAATTCTTAGGATAATATTAAACTGTGTTTGTTTCCTTCACCTGCTTTTCACTAAAATGCCCCATCAGATGTATTAAACCCAGGTAAGAATAAAGAAATTTAAGTATAATGATATATAATTTGAACTTAGACATACCAAGATTAATTCCTTTTTACTTTTCATATAAATTTGCATTTGTAAGCTTATATAATATTTTGCGTATAAGAACATTTTTGTGGATATACTCTGCAAATAACAAGTTTCAACTTCTGGAAAAGCCCATTGCAGAAATTGGTGCCAAAATGTCTGACTATAATAAGAACAATGCATTCCATTGTTAGATAACTTATTGCTGATGTTGTTACAGTAAGAAAATGTCTGCAGGAGGATTCTCCCCTCCAGCTGTGTAGACATTCTGTTCATGAGTTCAAAATTCACTGTAACAACTAGTGTCTTTCCTCACATAGATGGAAAGGGGGCATATTTTATGATGAAGAAACTTTCCATATCAAGAAATTCATATTGTCTTAAAAATAAGCAAAAGCAAAAAATAAAGTGAAAACAAACCTTAAACCAGACTTCGGGGAGGATAAAGCATTAGACCTTAATTAGCATGATCCTTTTTCCCTCAGAATTTCTTTGTTTCATAGATATTACACTAAATGCAGTATCAAGTTTCTTGAGTGAAAATTATCACTTTATTAAAATAATTGCTTTACATTCTTGGTGGGTTTTCTTAAATTATAAACAGTATGACTTCCAAAATCCAAAATGAGGGCAAAAAAAATGAGCAACACAGATTTTTTTTTCATAAAATAATAACTTAATTTGTTCTAGCTCACATACAAGCATTTGCACTGGGAAATTAAATTCGATCAGGGGCTTCTCCAGGCTGTGGGGGGGCATCTGTGCTTACACAGAGCTCCAGCAGTCTTGGGGAAGGAGATAATGGGGGGCTTCTTGTAGTTTGTGATTTGGGTCCTTGACAGGTGGGTGACTTGGGGTTCATTATCTGAGTTTGGGTGATTATTATTCAATTGATTTTAATTAGTATATATGCTCTCATTTTACTTCTCCCCTCTTTAATCCTCCCTCAGAACTCTCATTTCGAGTGTCATAAAGGGCTATTTTAACCTTTAAGAAGGCTTTCTTAAGATTTCCATTTAAGAAGAGCAACTTCCTGGTGTGATTTTCCTCATCAGACTTAACATATGTATGGCAAGTGTCCCGTATTTGGAAAGAGCAGAGGTAGACTAAGGGTCTTGATAGACAGTGAAATTAGACTATCAGAACACATGTATCATCACTCAGCCCCAGTCCAGGTCTGTCTTCATTCCAACATGGCCTGAACGCTTTGGATGACCCAGTGAGCTTTAAGAAGAGCATCACAAAGCCGGGCGATGGTGGCGTACGCCTTTAATCCCAGCACTCGGGAGGCAGAGGCAGGTGGATCTCTGGGAGTTCGAGACCAGCCTGGTCTACAGAGCTAGTTCCAGGACAGGCTCCAAAGCCACAGAGAAACCCTGTCTCGAAAAACAAAAACAAAAACAAAAAAACAAAAAACAAAAAAAAAAGAAGAGCATCACATATGCCAAGCCCTCAAGTGTTGTAGAATTCAGTCATTTAAATGATTGCACCTTACCCCTTCTTGGTGATACTCAAGAGTGTTAGGCTAATTATTCCTCTTTTGCAACCTATATACTTTATTAGCTAAATATCACTAGCACCTTTCTGTTGTAACTTGTATGCTAAAGATGGTCCTCATGCTTCCAAAGAACTAAGTCCATTCACGAGGAAGCAAGACAAATATTTCAGTCAAATCATGCAAACGTTTAATAGAAATACCATCTAAGAATAATTGTTTTACACAATGTTTATATTGCTTGTTAAAATTAAATATCTATCTCAAGGATTATTTCAACTAAAGGAATACAGTTTTAATTTGAAAGAACACTTTCTAATATTACTCTTAGTTTATAATGTAGTCACAAAGCTAAATAATTTTTAAAATTTCAGCAAAGGAAGAATACTAAATTAAAATTTGCATTTAAAAGATGACAGCTACAAGGTGAGAAGTAGTGGTACATGCCTTTGATCCCAGAACTCAGGAGGCAGAGGCAGATGGATCTCTGGGCCTGAGGCCAGTCTGGTTTACAGAGCAAGCTCCAGGACAGCTAGTGCTACATAGAGAAATTACCTCGAGAAGTCCAAAACAGAGAGAGAGAGAGAGAGAGAGAGAGAGAGAGAGAGAGAGAGAGAGAGAGAGAGAGAGAGAGAGAGAGAGAGGAGAGAGAGGAGAGACAGAGACAGGACAGTTACATTCATTATTGGCTTTTATTTCAAGAAGGGTAAGCGCATAGCATAATTTGGTTCTTTTATCATAGAGGACAATCTTCAATTATTTCCCCACTCAGAAAGTCTAACTACAGCTCCAGTGGTTTTCTCAAACGGTTAGCTCTTTGCACAACAGCATAAAAATAAGAGATTAGAACAGAATAGTTGTAAAATTATCGTCTATAAGTGCTTATATTAACAAATTTAATGTAAATATAAGCTATACATGTAACAGAAAAATTCTGAGACAAGGTTTTATTTATCCAAGGCTGGTCTTGAACTCACTATGTAGCCCAGACTGACCTCAAACTCACAGTGATCCTCCTGCCTCAGTGTCCCAAGATCTGAGGTTACAGGCATGTGCCCCCACTCCCACAGCTATACAGGCATCTTTAAATTTTCTATTAGCTACATGATAAAAAGAAAATATGAAATTATGATAGTACATTTTAATCCAGTATACACAAATTATTACATCAAAATTAAAATTAACGAGATCATCTGAGTCACTTTTATTCTGTTTCTAAATTAGCAGTCTGAGCCTGTTTACTTCAGGTGGTCAGGAGCCACACTGTAGCCAGTGGCTCCTATGGTGGACACACGGGTCTAATCTACAACACTCTTCCTTTGAGCAAAGTGAGAGTTGACTTTCTATGGTTAGATGTGAGCCTAACCTAAGATGCTGATGTTACAGATATAGATTCAGAAATATGTATCAGGCTACTCCTGGACATGCTTTGTCTTGAGAAGCGTTCTGCAATCTTATATCAAAGCAACACTTCCTTAGGCATTGCCAAATTGTGTGTGTGTATGTGTGTGTGTGTACTGCCCCAGAGTCCATCTTAACCCCATTTGGCTTGGGAAACCTGGCTGCATCTAGAGTTTCCTGAGTACTTCCATAAAATCAACAGTATTCTCACTTAGCAGAAACTACTGTGGCCCCCGTGGCCCCCCACTGAGCAGTCTGTACACAGAATCCATTCTCTACACATCAGGCTAAGCTGGACATCCTCTTGTTGGAGGCAGTCTTTCTAGAAGCCTCCTGAGAAATACATTTGCATGACAGACATGTTATGAGGTGGTGATTGATATGCCAGATACCCACAAATGTCCCGGGATGTGGTCACAGTTCGCACTTGTGGGGTTCTGGCAGAAGGGCCTGATTAACGCTGTCACTGAACAGACTTTTTAAAAACTTTTGGATTTTTTTTTTTACATACTGATTTTAGAATAATTGTCAATATCCTGTGGTCATTTTCAGATTTATAACGAAGCAGCTTGCCTTTTAAAGAGACCTCACCTGCATATATTTGACATTTCATAATGTAGAATATTTGGGCTTTTTTCACTGGCTCTTCCCAGTATTATATGCAAGGTTGCTCATCGGGAGCTGCCTCCAGGTTGAAGCTTCAAGAGCCATTTTTTTTTTCATGATTCAGTTTTTATTGCACAGGAGCAGCTGGCTGCAGTTCAGATTGGAAAGAAGAAGAGAAATGGCAGAAAAGACAAAGGACTTCTTTAGGATCTTAGGATTGTTCTCACAAAGCCAATAAAGGACTTCTAGAAGAGGCCATGCAAGTGAGTTAGCACCGGGCTCACATACAGCACAGCCAAGTGCAGAGTCAGAATGCCATTGTGCAATCTGCTCACATCTGCAGAGTACTCAGTCTGGGTGTCTACGTTTGAGACAGCCTAAAGTTTCCGGACATTAATTTATGTAATGAGAGTTGTAATGTCTTTGTAATTACTGTCCATTAGGTCATATGCCAATTTTCTCAATGTTTATCAGATACATTACTGATCAGGGTCATTGCTGACATATGAGCACTTACCAGTTGAACACTGAAGATTAGAGTGTGTCGACAGTGGTGGGTTTTTGTTTGTTTCTAACATGAAATATAATTTTTACTTTGGTATTTATAGCCAGATGATGAAAATGGACAAAATTTTCTACTTAAAAATTTTGTCATCTTACTTTCTTATAAAAAGGTGACTCTCTAGTTCCTTGCAAGTGAAGTTAAGATAGAGGAGGGAGAGAGGGGAGAGGGAGGAGCATGGGAGAGATAGTGGGGCAGAGACACACATATTAGTTACACATCTAGTGTTGCCATGGTAAGTTCACTTCTTTCCATATAAGGACACACTTTTGTCATTATTATTTTGTGAAGAACACCTGAGATAAAGCAGAGTAGAGCCAGTTCAATCATTAT